ACGGAGTAAACCAGAGAAAGTCTGGGACATGGTGGATTGGCATAACGCGTCCATTTCTCTATGAAATATTTGTTACTGGACTATGCTCATCTCACTGAGAAATGTTTGTTGAATGAATAAATAATTTTAAACTTCGACTAGTTTTATATCAGGCGGAATGGGGAGGGGGTGGAGCATCTTCCTGGGAGAAGCGGGGTTGGATTTTTTTAACATTTCTTTTCATATCTCTTCCCTGTAGTCACTCTTAAGCCCTCCTCGCCGCAGCCTAACTCCAGCCGGACCCCGCCCCTCTCCTTCACGGTCCGGTCACCCACAAATTCCGGGGCCTCGGAGGCCACGCCCCTTCCCTTCCGCTTCCGGTCTCTAGCCAGCCTTTGGGCCCCGCACCCCGGTTCCGGCCCCGCGGGGTCTCGGTTCCGGGTTCGTTGCCCCGGTTCCCGGCCCCGGCCGGTCTGTCGGGCCGGCCGGCCGCGCGCAGCCCCCGCCGGGGACGCGGACCCCCGGCCGCAGCCCAGCGGCCCCCGCGTCCCCGCCGCCCCATGGAGTCCCAGTGCGACTACTCGATGTACTTCCCGGCCGTGCCGCTGCCGCCGCGCGCCGAGCTGGCGGGGGACCCTGGCCGGTACCGGGCGCTGCCGCGGCGCAACCATCTCTACCTGGGGGAGACCGTCCGCTTCCTGCTGGTGCTGCGCTGCCGCGGCGGCGCGGGCTCCGGCGCCGGGGGCGGCCCGGGCTCGGGCGCCCGGGGGTCCTGGGCGGAACTGGCGACCGCCCTGGCCGCCCTGGCCTCGGTCAGCGCTGGAGGCGGGGCGCCCGGGGGCGGGGGCTCCGGAGACCAGGATTCCGAACCCCCAGGGGGCGGGGATCCTGGCGGTGGGGGGTTGTTTCGAGGCTGCAGCCCCCTCCTCACCCACGGCCCGGGCCCTGCTACCTCAGCGGGAGCGACCACGGTGAGGAGCTCGGGGTGACAGGGCACGGGGCGGTGGGGCGGTGTGCTGGGCTCCGAGGACGGGAGGGGAAGGGGACGGATGCTGGGGGCCTGAAGCTGGAGGCAGATGACGGATGCGGAGAGGGGAGGGCAAGCACCACGCACCGCGGATCTTAAAGGGGACGCTGCAGGCTGCCTCTGACTCTCCTGACCTCTTCACCCCTTTCGTCACCCCAGCTGCCTGTGGAGGAACCCATTGTGTCCACAGATGAGGTCATCTTCCCACTCACCGTTTCACTGGATAGACTGCCTCCAGGGACACCTAAGGCCAAGGTAAGATTGGCAAGGGGTGGAGCTGCTGTCCTCATTCAGACTCCCTTTCTAAGGCTCGGCTGTCTGTCTCTCCTCTTGATTGTGGTCCTACGTCCCCTGTGTTCAGATTGTAGTGACCGTGTGGAAGCGGGAGGTTGAGGCACCAGAGGTCAGAGATCAAGGCTACCTGCGCTTGCTGCAGACCCGATCTCCTGGGGAGACCTTCCGGGGAGAGCAGAGCGCTTTCAAGGCCCAAGGTGGGGAGGAGTAGGCAGAGGGGAAGCGCTGGAGTTTGGAATTTGGGGGACAGAGTGGAGAGGTGATCCTGGCCAGTGCTGGATCTGGGGGAGCAAAGAAAGGTTATGACTGTGGGTGGAGGTGAGGTCTGCGCCCAGCCCATCATTCCTTGCCTCTGCCCTCTCCCGCAGTGAGCACCCTGCTGACTCTGCTGCCCCCTCCGGTTCTGAAATGCCGCCAGTTCACTGTGGCTGGAAAACACTTGACTGTGCTCAAGGGTGAGCAGATGGGCGGCTCGGGTCTTGGGTAGCAGCAAGGGCATTGACCGGGTGGCAGCTACTCTGGGCAGGCTGGTGGGGATAGGTCCGTTTCGGGGGTAAAGTTGGGGTCCGAGGGGTCCAGATACTCTGAGCTGAGCTGGTTACCTCCGACAGTGCTGAACAGCTCTTCCCAGGAGGAAATTTCCATCTGGGATATCCGCATTCTCCCAAACTTCAATGCCAGTTATCTACCTGTCATGCCTGATGGCTCTGTGCTGCTGGTGGACAATGTCTGGTGAGGTCCTGGGATGAGGCCGGGCTGTGAAGTGGTGGGTATGAGGGCAAGGCCAAGAGCTCTGGCTTGGAAAGACCCAGCTCTGTCCCTCTTGCTTCTAAACTAGTCACCAATCTGGGGAAGTCTCCATGGGCTCCTTCTGCCGGCTCCCTGGTACCTCTGGCTGCTTCCCCTGCCCACTTAGTGCCCTGGAGGAACACAACTTCCTGTTTCAGCTGAGAGGGGGTGAACAGCCCCCTCCAGGAGCCAAGGAGGTGAGTAGAAGGGGTTGGCATGTTCAAGGAAAAAGGTTAAGAAAAAGCAGTGGGAGGGAAAGGCCGGGGGGTTGACTAAGGTGAGAGGGAACATCTGATACCTGTGATGTTTCCCTTTGTCCCTCCCGCAGGGCCTAGAAGTTCCCCTGATTGCTGTGGTTCAGTGGTCCACCCCGAAGCTGCCCTTCACCCAAAGCATCTACACCCACTACCGGTGAGTCTGTGGGACGCTCTTCGCCGCCACTGGGCACCATCCTGTTCACCTTTGTTTTGCAACACGTGCATCCCGCTTCCTTCTCTCTCAATGCTTCTAGCCTGCCCAGCATCCGCCTGGACCGCCCGTGCTTTGTGATGACTGCTTCTTGTGAATCCCCCGTTCGGACCTATGAGCGATTCACTGTCACCTACACACTGCTCAACAATCTCCAAGACTTCCTTGCTGTGAGGCTTGTGTGGACCCCAGAGCACGCACAGGCTGGTGGGTGCGCTGCCAGGCTGGGATCTTGTCTGAAGGAGGGGAGGGGAAAGGAGGAAATGGATGTGGGTGACCTGGGGTGGGCTGCTTTGGCTTTGTACTTAGGTGGTCTCCATAGTGTCATAGATGGAGAGTTTAAAGAGGCAGCGGGGCAGAGTGATTTTAAGGGCATTCACACGGGAGCTGGGCTCCCTGGTATGTTTGATTTCTCCCTCTCCCATTTACCAGCTGTGTGACCTTGGTTAGGTTCCTTAACCCCTCTGAGCCTCAGATTCCTCATCTCTAACATGGAGAAAATACTTCATGGGGTTGTTAATGGCGATTTATTGAGTTAATGTATGTGAATTGATTAGAATAGACCTCAGCACACAGTAAATATCAGCTATTGTTATTTATAAAATTTGGCAAAAGATAACATATACTCAGTTTATTCCAGAGTGGCTTTGAGGATCAAACAACTGCTTGTGAAAGCCCTTTGTGAACTGAGAACACTGTACAGGTGGGTTTACTGGTTGCTGTTTCTGTCCCCCAGGAAAGCAGCTGTGTGAGGAGGAGCGCAGGGCCATGCAGGCAGCCCTGGACTCGGTTGTCTGCCACACACCCCTCAACAACCTCGGCTTTTCCCGGAAGGGCAGCGCGCTCACCTTCAGTGTGGCCTTCCAGGCTCTAAGGACTGGGCTCTTCGAGGTGGGCTAGGTGGGGAGCTGGGCTGGGCTGTGTGGTGAGTGATAAAGAATGTTGGGTTGGGAGGAGTTGGGACCACTAGCTTCTGTGAAATACAATGGGTGGCACTAAAAAGCTGGGCAGAGGAGGGTGGGATTTAGATCCAACATGCGCCTGTCAAGTGGGAAGATGATGTGAAAGGAGGTCTGGGGCCTGGAAGCGAACGGGAATGCTGATCTGTGTCTCCCCACCCCAGCTGAGCCAGCACATGAAACTGAAGCTGCAGTTCACTGCCAGCGTGTCCCACCCTCCACCCGAGGCCCGGCCCCTCTCTCGCAAGAGCAGCCCCAGCAGTCCTGCCGTCCGGGACTTGGTGGACAGGCACCAGGCTAGCCTGGGCCGCTCTCAGTCCTTCTCCCACCAACAGCCCTCCCGTAGCCACCTCATGAGGTATGGAACCGCGGGAGGGGTTGCCGGTGGACTTGGTAGAGGCCGGAACTGGAGAGGGAGCAGTAAGGGGTGTGGGGTCTGACCAGCGCCCACAGCCGCTGCCTTCCCCTAGGTCAGGCAGTGTGATGGAGCGCAGGGCCATCACGCCCCCTGTGGCCTCACCTGTCGGCCGCCCCCTCTACCTGCCCCCGGACAAGGCTGTGCTCTCTCTGGACAAGATTGCCAAGCGTGAGTGCAAGGTCCTGGTGGTGGAGCCTGTCAAGTAGCACCGTGCTGCTCTCCTCCCTCTGACACTCCCACAAATCAAAAGCCCCCACAGGGGGTGCTCGCTCCGGGCTGTGCCTCCCCTGGGATGCCTCCCACCGTGGGTGAGGAGGCCCAGCAGGGCTGCCTGTCTGTGTCTGCCGATGAGGGACGAGGGAAGAAGCTGTGAAATGGGCGGGTATGGCTGCAGCACTAAGCCAACAGTATTTCCCCCGACCTCCTGGGGGGGGGCTGGCCCCACCCCTCAGCCAAGGCAAGGGCTCCAAGAGCTCCCTGGCCCCCGCCCTCGTACCCTGTTCTAAGTTTACAAAGTGTTTTCCTCAGTCCTATTAAGTTGTCCTTCCGGCCTCTCACATTCCCTCCCGCCCACCCACCCGCAGGGCTGATTAGAGGGTGGTGATGGTAAAGGGAACCTGACAATGACAATGACCCTCCTGTTCAGGGGTCAGGGGAGATAGCTAGGTGGCCTCCTCCTGCCCCTCACGTTTACGTTTGCAGCCTGAAGCACTTTAAGTTGTGTGGGGTTTTTGTTTTCTTTTTTGTCTGTCTGTTCCTGTAACTTATTCTTCAATGACTGCTTCCAACTGAAATCAGACTATTAAACACCTGTTCAGGAGGGAGGACTGTTCTGTGTGTGTTGGTGGCAGCAGAGACCCAGGGGCTCAGAACTATCCCTTTGGCGTGCACAACACATAGCTCCCCTCAGCTCCCTTCCCACCGTTTTTTTTTTTTTCCTGATTCCCAGTTTTATATGCCAAGAGGTGGCCTGGCTTGAGTCCTCTGGGCTGAGGTACACAACTCTCTCTCTAGAAGGTGGCAGACACCCCCCTGGCCCCCTCGCCCCCATACACACATCCCTGGGCCCAGGAACATCAGACTCACATTTATTAGGAGGGAGGGAGGGAAGAGGAAGTTCCCCTTGCCCTCATTTTCCTTAACATAGTGCAAAGTTCCCAAGCCTCTGCTCTTCCAGGTGGGGTGAGGAAGTGAGTGAGAGAAGCCTTAGCTCTAGCAGCCAGCCAAGAAAGAGGTGGAGGAGGTCAGCGTCTTCCTCATCACAGAGGCTCAGGGACCCAGTCCACCTCTGGCCCTCGCCCTCTGGCAGCTCAGACGTCAATGGGCTCCCGGCCTCGGTTCTGCCTCTTCACCACAAACACCCTCTGTCCTGACACGGTCACCAGCAGCGTGTGTTCTCCAAAGACCACTGGAGGGGAGACACACCTTCCCCCGCCCCGGGAGAGGGAAGGGAGCACAGAGTTAGTGGGGTGTGGTGTTCTCCATGGGGTCACACACAAACTGGCTGGGATCAAAAGCCAAAAAAATTTGATAGTGGAAGGCTGACAGATTTGAAGATGGGCGGTCTCCCTTAAATCCCCTTCCTTCTCTTGGTTTCTCCTAATTCTGATAGAGGAGTGAATCCCAAGGGGAAGAAAGTGGCCAGAACCAGCGGCCCCAGGGGGAGACGGGGGGAGGTTGGTAGCAGACAGGTGTTCTTCCCTGAGAAGGCCCTCGGAGCACCCAACTCCCCCACCCCCCCATCACCACCAGGGGCAGGGGCTGGGGCTCACCAGACAGGCGCTTGAAGGGTACGTTCATGCCATGGTGCAGCCGGAAACCGCAGGCCGTGGTGACCAGCTCAGAGATGGCACTGGCTGCCTGCTCGTCGTTCTCTAGATCCCCAGATGACTGCATGCGGACGGAGGAGGGAGGACGGCAGAAATTAGGGAACAGAATTGGGAAAAGACTCCAGGAACAGTCCCTTTGACTATAGCATCTGTAATCTCTCCCTCTGCACTTTCCGATACCTGCAAGGTGACCCCTAGTTTTGGAAAAACAAACCTAAAACTTTCCTCTGATGTTGTTGCTCCCCTTAATGCCATCCTGTTTCTCATCCTTATAAAACTGGGCTGTCCCCAAGGGGCAGAGACTCTTCAACCATTTCTTTACTGATGATTCTTTGCGAATCCCTTGAAACTTGATTTCTCTCCCTGTCCCCACTTAGTTGATAAAACTGCATTCTCAGATATCAGTGCCTACCCACCACTGACTTGTTCAAAGCCCTGGCTTTTCCTCAGTCTTCCTACTTGTTGCCCTGTCTGCAGAATCTGAAACATAAACAGCCCTTTGTCCTTGAACTCTGCCTACAACCTAGCCCTTGGGTAGTGATGGGACAGTGGCCTGAGCTTCCTCTTTTCTGGTGACTGTCTCAACTTCCACTTCCTACCTCCTTGAGATGGGCCTCCCACTGCTCACTAGGTTAAATTCAGTGCTCTTTGCTCTCTTGGACATTCTGTACCTCAGTTTCTTCATTTGTAAATTAGGGACAACAGTACCTATCTTACGGGCTCGTTGTGAGGGTTATGTAAGATAACATTGGTAAGATGCTTAGAATAGCTCCTAGTAATATATCTTAACTGTTATGCTGTATCAAACTCAGTGTCTAAAGTTGAGCCATCAAAATTCCCCTTACCTCTCCCCTTCTGCAATCAACTTCCTTTCTTCATTTTCCATTTGTTAAGGCACCATCATTCTAGGCTTGAGTTCCAAGTCTTACTGGATGGAGGAGTGTCTCCTCTGCTCCCTATCTTTAGTCATTACTAAGATATGCTGATTCCTTTAAAATCTCCCCTCTTCCTTCTCACTGCCGCCGGCTCAACTTCATCCCTCAATTTCAGCAGCAGCATCCCTGCTTCTGAATCCTGCCCCTTCCGGCCCATCTTCACACCTAGCAGAATAATCTCAACTATTTTATCAGCTCATGTTTCTGTTCAAAAACCCTTCAAAGCGCCTATTACCCTCAAGATTAATCCAAACGTGTTAACCCTGCCTTGAAAGTCCTCCACAATCAGATCCTTCCTTACCACAGCCTCTTCTTCCCCCAAATCTTTTCAACATACACCCACCCCTAATTCAGACAGGCCTGTGCCACACTCCTGCAAATATGTCCATCTCCCAGCCCCGGATATTCTCCTCCTTTTCTGCCTGTGCACAACCAACCATCCTTTAAGCCCAGCTGAATTCTTACCCCTTCAAAGGGAGTTTCCTTGCCAAAACACATTATAAAATGAGGGGTTGAATCTTTCATTTTCTAGACTCCTTCAGTAATCTTTACCACTCACATTCCTTTCAACTATTTTTTTCTTTTTTTTTTTTTTTGGTGAGGAAGATTCGCCCTGAGCTAACATCCATTGCAAATCCTCCTCGTTTTTTGCACGAGGAAGATTAGCCCTGAGCTAACATCTGTGCTGATCTTCCTCTACTTTGTATGTGGGATGCCTCCACAGCATGGCCGAGTGGAGTAGGTCTGCACCAGGGATGGGAACCTGCAAACCCTGGGCCGTCGAAGCAGAGCGCACGGACTTTACCCACTTGGCCATGGGGCAGCCCCATTGCTTTCAACTTTTAAGCTTAAGCCTTGTCTCTCTAGCTAGATTGAAAACTTCTAGAGCGCTAACACTATATTGTACTATGAAACAAAATACAAAGCCTCAACAGATACCAAATGAAGACACACTCAAGAATAACTCGGGTAATATCAGTTGTCAACACACCCATAACTGGTTGTCTGACTTTGGTAGGTTAGTAAACTTCTTTTACCTCAGAACAGTTATGAGACTAAGATCCCACAGACTGATTTAATTAATTCCTGAAAGCTTACTATATGGCAAGATATGATGCCAGGAAAAGACTGAGAGCAGAGGCAAATTAGGTCTAAAATTGGGCAATGTTAGAAGGGATCACCAGGCCATGTGCACCTGGGGGACCCCCCTTTCCCAGAACGCACCGCCAGCACTGCGCCTTCACTCAGCACCAGGTAGCCGACCTGGTCTGGGATTCGCTCCAGCCCCTGGGTCAGTGCAGAAGTCTAGTGGGTAAAGATGCAATCAGTGAGAAGCATGGTAGGAGGATGGTGCTTAGCAAGCTCAAGTCTCTCTTGAGAATGGCCCCCCAGGCCTCTTTCCCCAGCCAAGGCCCTTCCAGACCCTCTTCCCTCTACATGGCCTTCAACACTGATCTTCCTGAGTCTCCATCTCTCTTCCCCTGGGCTCCCCACGGCCTTCGGCATCCCACCTTTAATACCCCGCTGGTCCCTCCCCACAGCCCACTCTCCAATTCCCATTGTGGCCCACCCCTCCCCCGGGGACTACTCCCCACTCCCCCGTACACCCTCCCACAAATCTCCCTCGTCAGCCCTCCGCGTCGCCACCCCTCCCATCTTTATTTCCTCTCTGTCCCGGGGCGCACAGGAGGTGAGGGAGGAGTGCAGGCCAAGGAGGGGGCAACCGAAGAGATTGGGGAACAGGGATGCAGCACCCTCAGCGCCTACTGCCGCGCATGCGTCCTCACTCACCATCGCAGCCCCAGGTACCCGGGACGCTGCCCACCAGATCGGTAACTTCCGGCTCCAGACCAAAGTCACGTGCTTCCACCGGGCGGTCTCCTCGTACGGCCTTGCGCCGCCCGATTTTATCCCCGCCCCTAGAATGCGGATTGGATTGTGGCTACGTCATCGGACTTGGTCTGCCAGTGCAGAGCGCCATTTCCCGGAGATGCGCGCGGATTGGTCGCAGGCCCTCTTTAACACTCATCTCCCCGCCCAGAGCGCGAGGGAGGGGGGCGTGTCGGCGGGGGGGCCTGGAGGGGCGGGGCCGGAGGGAGGAGGGTGGACCGAGCCTGTGCGCCTGCGCGCGCAAGTGGGCCTGCGTTCGCCTCGGGCTAGGCTGCTGGAAAGCGGCGCCACAGGAATGGGGAGAAAGGAAGTGAAATGCATGTGAAAAGCTATTCAAATACTGCTCTTATGCTTACTCCAGGCAGCGAAGACGGGGGTTTGTTCCAAAGTCGTTTTTCGTCCAGGGATTCTGTGAGGAACGGTGTGATGGTGAATTGAGTCTCCCGCTAGCCAAAGCCGCTGCAGTGCTGAAATTCTCTGCCAGGAAAAATTACAAAGTTATCTGGAGTCATCTTTTTAATATATGAATGTAACATAGAAATCTTTTGTTTTAATTTAAGTAGTTTCTAGACCTGCTACAATACTAATGTGACTGAGGCAGGGTTGGTGAGGTAAAAAGGATGATTCTAAGAAGTAAAACAATTAGTACTTGTTGGCAAGGACATGGAGAAATTGGAGCCCTGATACATGGTTGGTGGGAATGTAAAATGGTGTAGCTGCTGTGGAAAACAGATCAGCGTTTCCTTGAAAAGTTAAATAGAGGGTTGCTCTATGACTTACCAATGCCGTCCCAAAATATATACCTAAGAGAATTAAAAACATATGTTCACGGAAAAACTTGTACGCAAATGTTTATAGCAGCATTATTCATAATAGCCCCCAAGTGGAAACACTCCAAATATCCATAAACTGAAGAATAGATAAGTAAAATGGGGCATGTGCATATAATAGAATATTATCCAGCCATAAAAGGAAATGAAATACTGATACATGCTACAACGTGGTATTGAAAATCTTGAAAAAATCAGACACGCAAGGCTACATGTTATATGATTCTGTTTATGTGAAATGCTAGACTAGGCAAATCAGTAGAGACTAAAAGCAGATTAGTGGTTGCTGGGGGTGGGGGGCGGGAGAAACGGGGAGTGACTGCTAATGGGTATGGGATTTCTTTTTGGGTAATGAAAATGTTCTGGAATTATATAGTGATGATGCTTGCACAATCCTGTGAATGTAATAAAAACCACTGAATTGTACGCTTTAAAATGTTGAGTTTTACAGTATGTGTATTATATCGCAATAAAATAAAACTAAGTACTGTTCCTTGAGGAGAAAGCTAGTTGGAGAAGATGGGTGCCTTTTTAAAAGTGGGGTCTGTTTATAATATGAACTTTAAATTGCAGGAGGATGTATAGAAAGTTCTGTGGACATCTTGATTAGCAATCCTTTCCTGGCCTTGGATATTGTCGATACTTTGTAGTATCATTTTCTTTGCACTTGCTCGTCAAGGCATTTTCATTGATACACTCCCCTAACCCTCTCATTAACGTCCCTATAATAGCATCCCCATTTTGCAGACGGGGAAGTGGCAACAAGAGAGTTTGAGCCTTGCTCACAGGCACACGCTGGCAAGTGGCAGAGCCAAATTCCAGTCTAAGTTTGCTGACGCTGAGGCTGATGCTTTTTCCATTGCTCCATCAGCCAACTATGTTTCTTATTTTTTTTAAGCTACAGTTAATTTTACCTCAGAAATTCCCTGTTCTCATCTGTCTTGACACAGGGGAACCCTTAGCAGGACAATGCTCGTCAGCCATCGTTAGAACTTGCTTCATTTTCACAAACAGCTTGAATCACACTACTGCTGTAGAGAGCAAAGCCGCTCATTCTTTCATTCAATCACTGTTTATCGAGCACCTTCTATGTATCAGACACTCTTCTTGGAATTGGAGGTATGGCAGTGAATAAAAAGAAGACGTATTTTAAAATTGTTTTCAAGGAGCTGTGAGGGAGAGGGTGAGCCAGATAATCAATAAATGAGAAAGTAAATGTTAAGTGGTGAGAAGTGCTATGAAGAAAAATAAAGCAGAATTTCGTTTACATAAAATTCAAAAACAGAAAAAACGAGATAATTTATTATTTATATAATAATTATATATTGTATGATATATTATATATTAATGTAGCATTATTTACTATATTATTATTAATATGTATTATATAATAATAGGGTGTTATTTAGTGATTTATCTACTTATCTATATCTATCCATATACAGTCATGCATTGCTTAAGGGCAGGAATACTTTCTGAGAAATTCATTGTTAGCTGATTTCATTGTTGTGTGAACATCATAGAGTGCACTTACACAAACCTAGGTGGCATAGCCTACTACACACCTAGGCCATGTGCTACTAATCTTATGGGACCACTGTCGTATATGCAGTCTGTCGTTGACTGGAACATCATTATGCAGCACATGACTGTATCTCAAAACAAAAAAGATAAGGGAATGATAAATAAAATTTGGAATAATGGTTACTTCTGGGATAGAGAGGGGAATGGGATAGAGAGACACACAGAGGGTTTTAAAGTGTTGATAATTTCTATACGTCCACTGAATGTTTGTCTCCCACCCCCATAAATTCATATATTGACTTAATCCCTAATTTGATGGTATCTGGAGGTGGGGACTTTGGGAAGTGCTTAGGTCATGAGAGTGGAGCCCTCATGAATGGAATTAATGCCCTTATAAAATAGACCCTGGAGGACCCCTCGCCTTCCACTTTGTGAGGATGCAGTGCAGATGGCAGGCTATGAACCAGCAAGTGGGCCTTCATCAGACACTGAATCTGCTAGTGCCTTGATCTTGGACTTCCCAGCCTCCAAAACTGTGAGAAATAAATGTTTGTGTTTATAAATCACCCAGTCTATAGTATTTTGTTATAGCAACCTGAATGGACTATGGCAGTAACATTCTATTTCTTAAGTTCTAGGTCTCTCTGTCTCTCTCTTTCTGTGTACATACATACACACTGTTTTTTTAAAAAGCGTTTTTAAAGACTGGCACCTGAGCTAACATCTGTTGCCAATCTTCTTTTGTTGTTGTTGTTGTTGTTTCTTCTTCTCCCCAAAGCCCCCCAGTACATAGTTGTATGTTATAGTTGTAGGTCCTTCTGGTTCTGCTAAGTGGGACGCTGTCTCAGCATGGCTTGATGAGTGGTGCTAGGTCACTGCCCAGGATCCGAACCTGTGAAACTCTGAACTGCTGAAGTGGAGCACATGAACTTAACCACTCAGCCACAGGGCTGGCCCCCATACATGCTGTTTTTAATACATGAAAGATCTAATAATTTAAAAAAGTAAAGTAGGTCTAGTGACCCAGCAACTTCACCCCAAGGCATATACCCAACAGAAACGTGTATGTATGTTCGCTCAAAGACGTGTACTGGGATGTTCATGCAAGCTCAAAACTGGAAACTACTCAGATGCCCATCAGTGGTCGAATGGATAAATAAATTGTGTCACATTCACACAATAGAACCCTATAGAGCGATGAGAATGAATGAACTAAAACTACCCACAATAGCATGAATGAAACACACAAACTTGATGTTGAGTGAAAGTGATGTGGGGTCGGTGAGCTGAGGAGTCGAAAGAAAGATTTCTTGGACTCTCAAGGGCTGACAGTAGTGCTCTTTTATTTAGATAATAGTATGGAATAGCATGGGGACAGGACCCGTGGGCCGTCAGAGCTGCTGCTGCCACTGCTGCTGCTGCTGCCATGGGGACAGGACTCATGGGCAGTCAGAGCTGCTGCTGCAAAAATGGGTGGAGAGTAAGGCTAAATTTAAGGCATAGGTATGTGAGTTATCTCTTTACAGGACAAAGGAAAGAATATGTAAAAAGACTTGTTAAAATGGTATCAGTGCTGGTAGGATCTGGTTATTGGGTGGTCCTATAACTTTTAGATAAGAGTCAAACCAGATTAAGTAAATGGCAGAAGCCACCGCTTAAATATTATCTTCAGCTAAAGACAAAGGAGGATGTTGGGGGGAGGGGGGCGTTCAGTTACATGAGGTTGCCAGACAGTAAACAACTTAAGTCCTTGCCTTCCGCATTAAGAGTTTCCAGAGATAAGGCCATCCCGCATTCCTCCTGGTGCAGAGAGGGAGTCCCCACAGATGGAGACTTCCTTCACAAATGCAAACGCCTCTCATCAAAGGGCAAGCAAATTCCAGTCCTCAGAGCCTCCTTCTCATCTGCAGTTTTAAAAGTAACCAGCCTAAAATCCTCATCAAAAGAAGTCAATCAGAAGAATACATTTTGTGTGATTCCGTTTATGTGAAGTATAAAAACAGTAATGTATACCATTAGAAAGCAGGATAGGGTTATCCATGAGGGAAGGGTTGAAACTGGATGAGAGGGGTGCTTCTGGGGGCTGGTAATGCTGTTTCTTGATCTGGATGCTGGTGTCATATGTGCATTCAGTTTGGGAAATTTAGTAAGCTCTACACTTGTGACATGTGAGCTTTTCCTGTATGTATATTATACTTGAGTAAAAAGTTAAAAAACACAGTTGGGTGAGAGGATACAGCAGTTCAGGGTGGTTGGTGGTGTGCTATTTTATATGAAATGGGCAGGATCGACCTCTCTGATGAAGTGATAACTGAACAGAGCCCAGAGGGAGTGCACAATTGTGGTATCTACCTGGGGAAAGAATACTCTTGTGAGTGCTCAATGAGCTTATCTTAGACTATGAATACTTGAAGATAAGGATCTGGTTCCCCTTTAAAATTCCAGTGTCTACCTCAGTACCTAGAATGTTGCTAACCTTCGAGTTGAATGCTGTTTTTCTATATTGTCCCAGCTACTCCCAGGACTTTCTGGTTTTCAGAGATTTTTTTCTTTGGTCTCATGGTGTCTAACTCTGCTCTTTGTCCTTCCACGGTTCTTTCTTCTTTTGAAAAGGAGGGAAGGAATCCTGAGATGTGAAATAAACGTATTTACATCCATGCCAGCGGCAGAGCTGGCCTCCTCATTCC